AGACCCCAAATCTTGCCTGACCTCCAAATAAAGAGTAAAAGACTTCCTATTCGAAGATGGACGAAACCTAACAAGCCACTAGGAGAGACTATTAGGCCCCATACTAGGATAACAAGGACTTCCTGTACAAAAATAAGGTTTCTCGCCTTTTTGGGGACGAGACCGCCATCTCAAAATTGAGACCGCCATCTCGCCAAACGAGACGGCGGTCTCGCCACCTGCGAATGGCGAGACAGCGGTCTCGCCACCTGCAAAGGACGAGACGGCGGTCTCGACCCTGTCAGACGAGAACGGCGGTCTCACCACTGTCAGGCGCAAAAACCTATAAATAGGGGCTCCCTCCCCTCATTTCCACACACCACACAGCTTTATCTCTCCCTTCTCTCTAAAACTTCTCTCTAGAATCCCTCCGACGCATTTCCGGAGCTTCTAAGTGCCTTTGTGAGCGTTTTTCGGCGTCTAGAAGAGTTTCCAATGTCGTGTAGAGTGAAGGGCTACCAAAAAGCACCCTCCTTTTTTAAAGAAATAAAAAGAAAGCTTGCTTCGGAGGTTTAAATTCTCCCTCTCTACTTTTACTGCTTTAATTTTAAATTATGCAATAGATTAGGGCCATGTAGTCATAATTTTAAATTTCGCAAAATAAAAAGGGCAAAAACGTATTTTTCCGGTTTATTTATTAACAAAATAGCTGGCCTGTCATAGGGAACCCGAAAGGGGCGTAGTAAAGGAACTAATACTTCCTTTACACGTAACTAACTCCCTTACCCAACTCTGGTTCTAATGACCAAAGTTGGTTTTCGAAAACCAACGCCTTTAAATTCCTTTCCCGATGTTTCCGGTAAAAACATCGGTGGCGACTCCACAGAACCCTACAAAAATTAGTCCTTGGGTTAGCCCGGTTATCGGACAACCCAAGGACGCCCTTTCGAAAACCTCGCGCCCTAGGTTAGCCCAGTTATCGGACAACCTAACGACGTTGTAACCACCCATAAAAAACGCGAAAATCAAGAGGGTCGAAACCATCGCATCGCTCCGACCGCCTCTCTTTTTAGACGGCGGCGACAGTTAATAATGGTAGATTTAACCGTTTGTTGTTGGAACATTAACACTGTGGTGGACTTAACCACCTATTATCGGACCAATATTTGACGACTCATCCACGAAATGATATGAGGGGATGTGACGAGAAAAACCTTTTTTGATATGATTAGGTGCATGAAAAAAAAAATACTCCTCAATATGATGAGGTGTTTAGTTAGATATCTCACGATTTCTAAGATAATATATGAGTCAATTCTAGCAATATTAAGACACTAAATGTTAAGAGTGATGGAATTTACTACCTGCTATCAGATCAATATTGAACCACTCATTCTCGATATGATATGAGGGAGTGTGATGAGAAAAATTCTCTTCGATATGACTAAGTGTGATGAAAAAATCATTCTCGATATAAGGGAGTGTGTTGAAAAATCTCACATCAACAAAAGATAGGATAACATTATAGTATATACGTGAATACAACCATCATCTTCCTGAGTTGGTTTTATAGGTTTTATAAGATTAATTTATGTATCTTACTATTTATAAGAAATTCAATTAATTTTTCATATAAAAATACATTCTTTCACAACAAATGGTCCATGAGACTAAAAATTATAATATATAGGTGAGGATTATACTAATTTATATTTCATTTTTTTTAGTAAAAATATTATAAATTAAGTTTATATATAAAAATATAATGATATATTTTTTTAGGTTATCTCAAGAAAATGTTGTTCCATTTCCGCCTCTTATTCCAATAACACAATTACATTTAATTAATGAAATATAAACAACTTATAATAAATATTTTTTTTCACTCTAAACTTTATTTTGTTGAAGTATATATTAAGATAAATAATTTTATTATCATCTAAATATTATTGGAGTTTAAAATTTTATTAGTATTCGTTGTTATTTATAAGAAAAACAAAAATTTAAGCATCATATTAAAATTTTACTATTTTATAATTTTTTTAAAATAATAAACTTACTTTGTCTTCAGATTTGATTTAACGTAATCAAATATTTTTGTATAATAATGAATAAAAATTACAATTGAAATAAAACTCATTTAAAGTTTGAATTTTTTATAGATCATAAACGTTTTACCATAAAATATTTAAAATAATGAAAATATATGACTATTTAAAATGACTCATGTTAAAATCAGATTTCAAATTATTTATTCTCAATATCCAAGTTCAATAAATTAAGTTAACTTTTGAAAATTTTAAAATATAACAAAAATCTGTTAATCAAATTTTGCATAAACAATAACATGTAACTAATTTAATAGATCAGCCATATATTATTAGCCGCATATATAGTAAATTATAAAGCCAAACATACAATGCAAGACATAACATGTAAAATCATATTCCGTGTCCCTTAAATTTAAAGAAAATAATAATTAGTCCTCCAAATTTAAAAATATTTGTTTAATCCCCAAATGTAAAAATTATATTTTAAGGCTTCTAATTTAAAAATATATTTTTTATTTTTTAAATTGACGTTATTGAAAATTTATTGACGAAACCCATGCGTGTTTAGTTTCATAAATAATCTCCGTGATTGATATTATCACTACAACGTAGTTTGTCTTTTTTTCATTATTATTTAATTTTGTTATAAAATTTTGGAGGTTTAAAATTTTTAAATCGTATCTTTAAAATTATTTGAAACTATATTATTTATTACTTAAATTTATTCATACCACACTAAAAAGTTACATATATGTTATGGTATTTAGAAAAATATTTAATAATTAATTCAATTCTCAATTACCGGTATTAACTCATTTTCTTTAATTTTTCAAAATAAATTATTAACCATCATCTTAAAATTTTCTTAATAAGAAATTAAAGTTTAAATTTTGGTGTTATTAAGAGATAATTAAAAAGTTTCAAAGTGTGACGTGGATTTTATGTACTATATATACATGCTTGCCAAGACCACGCGTAACACGCTTATTTTATTTATTTCTCAAAAAACTCGTGGCTATGGTTCTCACCAATAAATTTTTAAATAAATAAAGTAATACCATAATTTATTTAAATTTTGTAATAAATATAATAATTATTGATAGGATTAAAATATTATTGTTTTAATCTTAAGTCATATGAACTATTGTCCTCTAACTTTAATTTGACTTGTTATAGTGTTGTTTTTTAAATTATTAAAATAATATTATTATGGTTAAGAATTATATTTAAAGTATTTGTTTTTAAAATATATGTTTAGAGAAGAAAATAGTTTATAAATAATTTTTAATCTCGATATAACAGTTTTACATTATTGAAACGATTATTTTACTTTGAAATTAATTTAAATGTAATATAATATAATATAATATTTACACGACATTTCGGATCTATATAATAAAATTTAAAATGTTCTCTTATATAGTTTTTGTTTTTAATGTAGTTTCAAACTAATCAAGCTAATTATTTTTCTTTCGTTTTTATACTTATCTTTTAATCCAGAATATTTTATTTTATTTAATAAATTAATGTAGCATTAAAGGTTATTATTATTATTATTATTATTATTATTATTATTATATACTTCTAGAATGGTTTATTTTTGTTAGAAAATTATATAATTGTAATGCGGAACATTTGTTTTAATAAATAACATTTATTTTTCAATTTTGATTACAATTTTCATAATTATTTATATCATTATCTTTTATTTAAAAAATAAAACTATTAAATAATTTTTTAAAAAATATTTTTTCAAATTATTTTTATAAAACTATTTTTAAAATTTGAAAATGCAAAATTAAATAATATAACCTAAATTAAAGTATAGTTAAAAGAGTATATTCAAAGAAGTAAAATATTCATTCTATATTTTTTCAAACAATAAAATTTCGTGACATGATTATTATCATCGATTAATATTTATGTTTATCACTTGCTTTTAATTGAATCGCATATTAAAAATGATGTTCCTCGTGCCACAATACATTGATTGGTGGACAAGGTTGGTTGATTTTTTTATTTTTTTTGTGACAATAAAAAAGAAGAGAAAAAAATAGAGGAATAAAAAAACGTAACTCGTGATCCATGAGAGTGATGAAACAAAGTGATGCATATTATTAAACTATTATTATTAGAAACTATAAATACATACATGATTTAATAACTTACGTTCAGAACTCACGATTCCACACTCTTTTTCTTCCCTGTGTTTTTTTCCGAACTTCCATTTTTGATCGTTAAGCTCTTGAGTCTGAGGAGCTTCTGTAAGTTAACTATTTTCCCACTTTTCAATTCACTGGTTTTTATGATTCAACTTTTTCATTGTTTTTCTCTGTTATTATGCCTTTCTTTCGTATGTTAGTATAATATTCTATTGTTCATTCTGGGAATTTTTTTTGGGTTCTTACAAAATTTAACTTATATTAACTTTTATAGAATATTCACAGAAAAATTCGCAGAAACATTCTAGTAGTGTTTGGTGATGAACAATAATTATGCAGTTCTCTTACTTAAAAGTTAACATTTGGTTTGTAATAACATTTAAAATAACAATATAAAAAAATATATTTAACGTTATTATTACGAAGTTAATTAAAATGTACGGATAGTGTAATTTTACATTATCATTCAAATATATATTATCATGCATATTCTACTTATATAATAATTACTTTAAAAAATGTAAAATTTTATAGTATAAATTCTCATGTGATAACTTTTTCTTTGACTTAAGATTCATCAAAAGTTGTGAATTTTAGCAAATTTTGTTGGATAAAAAAATGTTTAAAAGAGAGTGCTGTCAACATCTCTTGTAAACTTTTACATCGAAGGTATATCACATCACAAGATTCAATACTGTGCTCTAAATGTTCTTAGGAATTGTTGTCACATGATTCAATAGTTTGAGCAAAACCTGTGATATTATATCTGACTAGAAGTTTCATTGCTTTACACAAAAGTTATGCAGATATGGCTAACACCTACAAGCCAAAGAACATTCTCATCACTGGAGCAGCAGGCTTCATTGCATCCCATGTCTGCAACAGGATAGTCCGCAACTACCCTGACTACAAAATTGTTGTCCTTGACAAGCTTGATTACTGTTCAAATTTGAAGAACCTCATTCCCTCACGATCATCTCCAAATTTCAAGTTCATCAAGGGAGACATTGGTAGTGCTGACTTGGTCAACTATATTCTCCTCACTGAGTCTATTGACACCATCATGCATTTTGCAGCACAGACCCATGTTGATAACTCCTTTGGCAACAGTTTTGAGTTCACCCAGAACAACATTTATGGCACACATGTGCTGTTGGAGGCTTGCAAAGTCTCTGGTGGCCAAGTGAAGAGGTTCATTCATGTGAGCACTGATGAGGTTTATGGGGAGACAGATGAGGATGCAGTGGTGGGAAACCATGAGGCTTCTCAGTTGTTACCTACCAATCCATATTCTGCCACAAAAGCTGGTGCTGAAATGCTTGTCATGGCATATGGTAGGTCATATGGCTTGCCTGTTATAACCACAAGAGGAAACAATGTTTATGGGCCTAATCAGTTTCCTGAGAAGTTGATTCCAAAGTTCTTGCTCCTGGCTATGAAAGGAAGGATTCTTCCAATTCATGGGGATGGGTCTAATGTTAGGAGTTATCTCTATTGTGAGGATGTGGCTGAGGCTTTTGAGATCATTCTCCATAGGGGTGAGGTAGGGCATGTTTATAACGTAGGGACAAAGAAAGAGAGGAGGGTGATTGATGTGGCAAGGGACATATGCAAGCTTTTCAATTTGGATCCTGATACACATGTCAAGTTTGTGGAGAATAGGCCTTTCAATGATCAGAGGTACTTCTTGGATGATGAGAAGCTGAAGAATTTGGGATGGTCTGAGAGCACTATTTGGGAAGAGGGGCTAAGGAAAACCTTGGATTGGTATGTAAAGAATCCTGATTGGTGGGGTGATGTTTCTGGTGCTTTGCTTCCTCATCCAAGAATGCTCACTATGCCAGGTGTTGAGAAGTACTATGATAACACAGATATCACCAAAAATGCTTCCAATGTTGACTCAAACCATGCTAACGAGACCAAAATAGTGGTTCCAACTATAAGGAACGTGTCACCACCAAAACCATCTTTGAAGTTCTTGATATATGGTGGTGCAGGATGGATTGGGGGCCTTGTTGGAAACATTTGTCAGAAGCAAGGGATACCCTTTGAATATGGCAAAGCACGCTTAGATGATGTATCACAAATCAAGGTTGACATAAGGACCAGTAAACCAACTCATATTTTCAATGCTTCTGGGGTGACTGGAGCATTAAATGTAAACTGGTTTGAAGCTCATAAACCAGAAACCATACGTACAAATGTTATTAGTGTGTTAACATTGGCAAATGTTTGCCAAGAGCTTGGCCTCCCTATGATGAATTATGCCTTTGTTGGTAACTTGGAAGACATGAAAAATTCCACTGATTCTTTCTATTTTAGAACACAAACCAAGGTATGTTCACAAAAACTTGTACTTTACTAAATAAGTTTAATTTCTATGCATTCTTAATATGAAAAGATTCACATTACTAACCAATCAAAATCATCCTTACTATATAACTTGTAAGGTAGTAATTGGCATCATAATGTAAATCAGAGCATACACTTTTTGTTCTTTTGCCATTTCTGTTGCACAATTTTTCCACAATCACTAACTTCATATTTGTCAAACATGGTTTTAGGTTGAAGAGTTCCTAAAGGAATATGACAATGTGTGCACCCTAAGAATCCAGTTGCCAGTGTCATCTGATCTCAGCAACCCACATAACTTCATCACAAAGATAACAAGGTCTGACAAAGTGGCCAACATTCCAAACAGCGTCACTGTTTTGGACGAACTTGTACCCATTTCAATTGAGATGGCCAAGAGGGATTGCAGGGGCATTTGGAACTTCACAAACCCTGGGATTGTGACCTGCAATGAGATTCTTGAGATGTACAAGGATTATATTGACCCTAGTTTTAAATGGGTTAATTTTACACTTGAAAAACAGGGTCAATTCCCTTCTCCAAGCACTAATGAAATGGATGCATCACAACTGAAGAAGGAATTTCCTCAGCTATTGCCTGTTAAGGACTCATTGCTCAAATATGTCTTTGAGCCAAAAAAGAAAAGTCTGGGTTATTGAGTAGCATAATTGGCCATAAATAAATGTATACATGATGGTTTCTATGTATTTATTTTCCTCTTTTTGGTACTATGGTTTGGATTAGTTTGATATAATTAGTTTCTCATTTCTTTTAACTGCTTTTTTTTCTTTCCAATTTGTATTTGTTATATTAATTTTTTTTTTTTTAGGATTGGGTTTTGTTGTTTCTATGCTCTATTATACAACAAAACTATTTTGCCCAAATAAAAAATATCCTTTATAAATGTCTCGTATATAAAAATAATATCTTAAATGTTGGTCCTAATAAAGTAAATTTAATTAATTCTATTTTATCTAATGAAATTATTATCCTTCATTTAATTGGAATTTATTTTTAACGATTATATTTTATTTTTTATATAAAATTTCAACCAATGACTTAAAAAAAAAATCTTTCATTTTAAAATCTTGCTATCCAAAAGTGTTTAAATAGGATGTTTTTTTAATTTCTACCAAATTTAAATATACTAAATTTGAATTCAAACTAAATTAATTTTTTTAAATAATTTGTGACAATTCAAATATTTTGAAATTTAATTTTCTTATTTAGATAAAGTATTTTAATTATTATCAAATATAATAATAATTATTATTATATTATGAAATAGGTCTAATTTTTTGGATATGATCCTTATCTATATGAGTAAGGTTGAATCGAGATGAATAATGACAAATTACATTGAATTAAGTGAGGTCAAGACAGACAAAACTAGTAATTAAGTGAGGTCAAGACAGACAAAACTAGTAAGGTCGGACAGAGAGAGATCATGACATACTATATTGAGTCAAGTGAGATTAGGACCGATCAAATTGGTAAGGTCAGACTTGATCAAGACAAATTATACTAGGTCATGAAGGTTGAGTTAAGTTGATTTAGGCTAACTGGTTAGGATGAGTTGGATCGTGTTAGATTATGTTGGAATAAGTCACGTTGGGTTAGGATGAATTGAATCATATCAATCGAGTTAAGTTTAGACGGGTCAATTCAGATCATAAGTTAATAGGATATATTAAGATTAGATAAGTTGGATCATATCAAAACAATATTGTCAGGTTAAGATGAGTTAAATATTAAGATTAGATAAGTTGAGTTAGACCTACTTTGAGTAGTTGGGTAAAACCTGATAAGGAAAGATTAAATTAGGTTAGGACAATGATGAGTTAGATTTGGTTCAAATCAAGTCAAGATGGGTCGAACCTAGATTAAACCATGCTTATTTGAGTTGAACTGAATCCACACTAGTTAAAATGTACCGTGATGAATTAAAAATTTTCTATTAAAATTGACAAAGAGAAAATATAAAAAAAAAGAAGAGAAATAAATTTAAAAAAATTTAAATCCTTATTTTTTTTATTAAATTTGAAATTCTCTTAAGTAATCAAAATACTTTCATCTATTTTTTAAGTTTTAATTATTTTCTAAACTTTTTATTTAAATAATTATTTTTATCATAAAATATTTTAAATACTTTATTAAAATAAATTACTCTTTATAAATTATTCATAAAAACATAAACTAAGATATCAACGAAATGAAATTAAAAAAAGAAAGTTTTATTAGATACCATATGAAAACGAGTTAAAAATTAATAGGAGAGACCATTTTCCGCATCTCATAAAACAAATCTCTTTTAATTTCCGAGTCAAATATAAACAAAATAATTTGATAGTAATTAAAAATCCATTATCATCATATAATTTTACTATTTTTTTATATAACCCACACTAAAACTTTATACCATTCCAATAAAAGCTCAATTATGAAATACAAGAAATATTTAATTTTACTTTAATTAACATTAACTTATATAATTAAATTCGCTAATTTAAAGTAAAAAAATTTAAGCAAATGTAGCGCGTTTTAAATTTTAATATTTATAAATAAAAAATATGATTTAAAATAGGATAGTAACTAAAACTTATTGATAAGTTACATTAAGTTATGTATAATTAGTTGCTATAAACTTTCAAACCGCTGTTTCAAATTATTATTAATTTTTATTTGTAAAGAATAGTTTTTTTTTTTCTAAAAGTTGTTGAATGTTTGTCGAAACATTGAAAATTTTATTCTTCGAAGTACTCAAATGTGTATAATATTAGAAGCGAAATGATAATAGATAAAAGGAATTAATGTTTAAGATTTAAGGGATGATTAAAAAGTAGGAGTTGAAAAAGTTCTTCTTTTAACTTATCGTTTAATTTTTAATATAATAATTTGTCTTAATTATTAAATTAAAAAATATTAAGAAAAAATAAATTTTTAAATTTTGAGAATAGTGAAAACAAAGTCTACATTTTTATATATCCCATGATAAAAAGAATAAAGGGCAATGATATATTGATGAGTGTATTAAACATTGGGCACGCGAAGAAGGTTTTGTGTGATGACCCCTAAAAAACAAAAACAGCTCAACAACACCATGCTTTGTAACCCTCTCTCCAACACAAAAGAATCCAAGGTGAAGAAGAAGCACATGCAACAAAAGCTCAACACCATGTGCTGCTTCTCTTTTCTTTCATTCCGTTAAGGGTTTTTTCTGATCTTTACTTTTCCTTTTCTTATTTCTAAAACTTCTTCTTTCTTGTTTGCAATTTTCATTTATTCATCCTACTAGTATTATTTCTACTACTATTTGTTTTACAAAAATTATATAAATAAAATTTATATTTGTTTCATCTAAGAATGAATAGTTGTTTTGTTCATTTTGAAACTCCTATTCATTACGATTCTATCCTTAAAACATGTTTTGACGATGAGTTGAAAGAAGGGGATATATATAAAGTACCATTTACCTCAATTTCCAAACGATGTGAAACTCATAAGTATACTAGAACATAAGCCCAAGTCGAAGACTAAGAGATATAAGGAGAACAAGATTCTACTCTCAACTCCACGGTGTACGTCTTTTAAGGATAAGATCGTATCACACGAGAACTTCGAAACAGACAATACCTTATATATAAAAATTGACCATAATATTATCATAACAGACATAAAATTGGATAGTACTTATTCCTATAAGTAATAATATTTAACCCAAAATGAACTTAAATATGATTTATCATACATAAGAGTTTATTACGTTATTCATTGTTGATGATAAATAATAGAGTTTTTTTACTAGAGGGGGTTAAAAAATTTAAATTTTACTAAAATGAACTAATTCGTGTAAGGGGGAACTACTTAGGGGTTGAAATCGTGCTTGAAAGCACTATTTCACTCGAGTGATTTAAATTTTATTTTTTTAAAATATTTATTTATTAAATAATTCTTTTAATTGAATTATTAATTTAATAAAAAATAAAATTATTTAGACATTGTTAAATTTAATTCATTATATTTATATTAAAATATTATATTATTAAAAAAATACAAATTTATTGTCGAAATGAAGAGTTTGCATGATTATGTCTTTCATTTTGATAAAAAGGAATATTTTTTTGTTTATTTTCAACTTATACATTCATTTTATTTCGAATCTGATTAGTTGTACGTCTTATTGATGTGACATGATTTGTTCAAGATCAACTATGACCTATTTAAGATCAAACACGTAGACCAAGATGACAAATAAGAAGACCACCTTGTGGAATAAAATCTCACCATTAATTTTTTGTGTGATAATATATGCATGTAATATTTTAATATAAATATAGTAAATTAAATTTAATCATATTTTTCTAAATATTTTTATTTTTTTATTAAATTAACAATTTAATTTAAAATAATTATTTATTAAATAATATATTTTAAAAATAAAAAAATGTCTTTTACCAAAAGAAATAAGAAAATTGTGTTTCATAGCACATTAAAAAAACCTAAAATCATGTTTGAAAACACAATTTTAAAAATAAAAAAGTGATAAAATCGTGTTTCTTATCACGATTTTAAGGGTGAAATCGTCCTCCTCCCACATTTTAACCCATTTTGAAAAAAATTAAATCTTTTTAACTCATTTCAATAAAATCAAAATTTTTTTACCTGTGTGGTAAAAAAGCCTAAATAATAGCTTTTTGTTTTGTTTTTTAAGTTTCATCTATGAAGAAAAGCTAAAGTGATGTGATTGGCAGATATTTAGGAATTTGAGTAGAAGAAAAAGAAATAAGAAAAACGATTTTACCGACACTTAAATCACGCATATCAAATGCTATATTTATCCAATTTTGGCTGGTGGGTACGGATCGCAATTGGAGTTAGTCTTATGTTTCATCGATCCATTTTAAAATAATAGAATAAATAAGCAGTTTTAGTTTATTAGTATATTTTAATTCCTTGTACTAATGTGATAATTGGACAAGTTAAAGATGAAACGATATAACACGAGCTGATTTATTTTAAAAAAATATTTATATATTAAAATTAAAATAATTATAATTAAAATTAATATACTTTTGTATTATATGATTAGAATATATAAATATATTATAATATTAAATTTAAATTATAAATACTTATAAATTAAAATGAAATTATAAATATAATGAAATATTTTCAAAATAAATTTAGTATAATACTTTAGTATAATAATTTTTTTAAAAATAATTAATTAATAAATAAATTTTAAAAATATTTATATAATTAAATATATATTTTTAAAAAATAAATATAAAAAAATATTAACAAATTAAATCTTTTACAAAATAATTAAAATTTATAGTTCATCTTGATTACTATTCGAGATCGGTTTATCTCACCTTATTTTTACAAATTAGAGATAGGATCGATCACAACATACTGACAATCATCCGACTGAGTTCAGTATTAGAATAATTCAAATAATTTTACATTGTGTGACTCAGAGTGATTTTCATTATCTCATAGTATCGCATAATATCATCTATTTAATTTTAGTTTACGGATTAATATATATATATATATATATATATATATATATATATATATATATATATATATTATAATTCTATATGAACTTTGAAAAGAAAAATTATTTAAATATAATATTTGTAAATTTATGTAC